TAATTTTTTTTTATTCATTTATTTCTTAATTGAAGAAATACTTAGAATTTATTTGATTGGAAATTGATTTAATCTTAAATAATTACTACTACTACTACTACTAGTGATGGCAATTTGTCCCGCCCCGAATGAGGCAAAAAAACCCGCCCCGTGAAAAGAAAGTAACAAAAAAAAATTAAAAAAAATTTATTTATAGATAATTCATACGTTAAAAACTCATTTTAAATTTGTATTTTATTCTTCAATAATAACATAATTCGAAACTTTCAAAATGTAAAAATAAAAAATAAAAAAATTAAACGGGGCAACAAACGAGGCAAAAAGTTGCCCCACCCCGCCCCGAACCCGCCCCGTTGCCATCACTAACTACTACTACTACTATTATTATTTTTTTTTGCAGCTATAAGAGGAAATGTTAAATGACTAATTATAAATTTTTGACTTTGCAATTTAAATAATATTTTATTTTCTCTCAGGAAAATGTTTCCCTTTGAATAGATTAAAGAGGAATAAATGGGTGTTAATGTCCATTTGAGATTGCCTATACAAGTCATTTCTGCCTTGTAATTTTACTATGATCTTTCATAAAGTTTATGGTTTTCATTTAGATTTCTTTGCTTTAACGACAAGTCAAAGAGTTATTTTTTTTTTTATCTATCCTACTGAGTGGGTGCAGTAATTACTCGAGCAAGTTAGGCATCATAAAGTAGATGGCAATGCTGCACTGTGATGGTGACAATTTTGGTTCTTGAGGTAATCTTCTCATAAAATTTTAGTAATTGTAATAGATATGTGAATCACAATATTCATGTAATAAAAAATTTTATTCGGTCACGAGGTTAGTTCTAGAATGCAACTAAAGAATCACTACGTAGCATTTTCATGTCACTATTACTGAAGAGGAGAATAGTAAGAGTTTTGTTATATTTTCATTTTCATGTTGTGTACTTTTTTAATCTAATAAAATGGCTCGTTTATGGAAACTGAGGCATGATCAATGCTAAGGAATTTATTCACATAGAAAATATGGTAAGCCTCTGTGCGAATTATTTGTCTTACATGTTTGTTGTTGATTTCATTATATAAGTTGTTATTTTTTATTTGTAGTCATATGACCATCAACAACATATAGGCTTTTTCATTCTAGAAAATGAGTGGAGTTCCATCTACGAACAAGCTAAAACTACTGTTGAATTAAAGTTTAAACTTCAAAAAACTGCTCATGGATCTGTTTTGGCATATGGCAAGAAGTCGCTTGAAATATTGACAGTAGCTCACCCTCCATGCAGGAAGATAGTCTGAAAAAAGCTATTGGAATTGAACTATAATTTGCTAAAAATGTATTATTTTGTAAGGTTTTCCTTTTATTTTTATGATGTTATAAGATCATTGTCATAGTTTCTAATTTGGTGAACTTAGATAGATTGAAAATTCATTTGATAAGATGTGTGCAAAATTGGCCGATGCAAAAGTTACAACAAAGACTCAATTGGTTGAGGTTCAAAGTGTGATGAAAAATGCTCAAAAGAAGTTCATGGAGGTAGAGGAAAATATGATGAAGAATGTGACTAATGGATGGAAACTGAGTGTGTTAATTATTTTTCTCCTTTAAAGTTCTGTTTTGGAATAATACTGCAATAATGTGCTAGAACTTATTTCTCATAATTTCTTTTGCTTAAGTGCAGGGAGGGAAACTACCCAAAAAGATGAACTTTATTGTGAAGGATATTGTGCAACTTGTAACTTTGCATTGTATGAAGTGGCTTGTCATGAAAGCGGCAACTAATAAATATTATTCAATGTATAATGCTTTTAAAAAAAATTATTTAGAATAACAATAGCTTTATTCTTCAAGAGTGTGTAATTTGAATTAATCCAACTGCAATAAAAATTATTATTAGTCATTTCTCATAGCTATAATCCATATAATCAGGGCAATTCTTCATTAGTTATAGCAAAGCACAAAATGGCATAACCAAGAAATTCAAAAATTAACAACTCATATAGTAAGAGAATGCTTTTTCACATTCACAAAAATGTTAAGTTTTGTGATATCCTGACCATTTCTCAACTGGACTTGACTTGTGGTACGCTGTTCATGAACTCAAAAGAAAATTCATTTCGGATTAAGTGGAGATTCCCATTTATGTACACATTTAAAATTTTTTTGTATTTATTTTTTATTCGAATTATAACTATAAAATATTTGCTACATGCAAGTCGAACCATGGAAAGCTTATCATTGTGGATTACAACATATGCTTTATTGAAGGACTAGATTTATGCTTTGGCCGATATGACACAACTAAGCACAAAGTAGATGATTTCCCTCCTTTTCTACAGCCTGGAAAGAACTACTATAATCCAAGGTACATATTTTTTTTCATTAAGATGTGTAAGATCTATAGGTAATAACAAAGTTCGATCAATTGTAATATATGAAATATTTTATGTCAACATCTCGATAGTCAAACTTCAATTGGTTAATGGATTTAATCACAATACTACATCTGTTTTCAATTTAATGATTCTTGAACCATATGTTACAAATTTCGATTGTGAATATAACACATATCCTAAATAGAGAAATCATAGCATCGCCCCATAAATAGACCTACTAGGTAAGTAACTAAAAGCCAATAATATTAATTAGTATTTTTTTATTGAGGCTTGATTTTCTTCTCTATAGGTAGATATGTAGAGCACTCCAGTGTTTTTGATATATCTTTTAACTCCTTTGAATTTTATACAAAATCGGAACCAAATTCTTCGCAAAATGCTATGAAAGATGAATTCAATCAAAAGAAATATTCTCATATACCATGACACAATGTTCATTGTACTCTGAGGATCATCTTGTAGAGACATTGCCCGACACTTCATTCAACGTTGGAATCATGAAAAGGTTGGACTTTTATACTTGTTGCTAGCTCGTGAATTTTTTTTAATAAACAGAAATTACCATTACTTATGCAACAACACCACATGGTTTTAGCTTATTAGATGGGAAGAAGCAAAGTAATAGACATTATAAAAATTTTGAAGTGAAACCCAACAACATCAGCATGAAGGATTATTTTTCATGAAAGTCACTGCCAGAAGAAGTTCCACTGATTTTACCTCCCGAATCAAATGGACCAGAAATTAAAAGTTGACAACATCTATTTCAAGCAGTCTTTTTTAGAATTAATGATTGTTTGAATAGTGTATATGTAAAACATTCAATCTATGGATAATGGATGTTCTGGTTTACTTAACTTAATTGCTGAGTATCCAGGATTGAAAATATAGATTGTTCAATTTATTCCTTCAATTGTCACTTCTTTTACACTCTTCTATTACAAATGCTCAATTCTTTGTTTTCCCTTCTTCCCTATTTCTCATATGTGAAAATAAAAATAGTGATGGCTGTGTTTGCTTTATAGTTCATATTTTATGGTTCATGATAAATAGAATAAAAATACTTTACATGTCATATTTATTTTTTTCTCTCTTTTTAGAAAGATTGCTTTGATATATTTTCCTTTTTAAGAAAACTCCTTTTTCTGTTTCTCATGTGAAAGGGAGAAAGAGAGTGAAGAATTTCTCTCTGAAACTTTATTATTTTTTGTCTATTTGTCGAAGAAAATCAACTAAATACTTTCTTCGCTTTCCAAAAAATCATTCAATGTAATTCTCTCTTGCGAATACTCAAGTTACCACACTAATATCACCTTCAAGAAAATTCAAGCCATGCAATACACTAGTTATCTTAAAAGATCCACCTTGTTAAGAATATAAAAATAATTTGTTATATTAATTCATATTTTAATATTTAATTAACGTGAAATTTATAACTGGCTGACTTCTATGTAGTCATTTAGTGTTTTGCAGATTTCATGGAGGCAAGGAAAAATAAAAGTAATGTATTTATAGTCGCTGACTACGGTGGTCGTCCTACGTTGCATCCTATAGAGCGGTTTGTGATTTGATACATTAATGTGTTAACTTTTTTTTGTCCCATGCATCAAATTACTAACCGTCGTATGTATACTATATAAGATGACTGCGATAGTGAACGACTGTAAATAGCATTATTCAGAAATCAAAAGAAAGGAGAAAAAAGTCAAAATTATGAACCAATCTATTTGCATTATTCAGAAATCAAAGGAAAGGGGAAAAAAGTCAAAAGTATGAACCAATCTCTAGGACTTTCATCTAATTTGATTGAACATTCAAATGCTGTCGTAAGTACATGCTTATGACTTCGGATAAAATATTCTGATAATACCTACAAATAATCTCCCTATTAGTAGACATTTGACAGTATTATGAGTCATACAAATATTTTATGGCAATCATATCAAGCCGCTTGAGTATGGTTTCCAAAAATTTCTTGTCCTTTGGGTACCACATGCATTGCATCCTTAATTTTGTGCTGCAATTTTTTGAGCAAAACTCTTAAATTTGAACCAATGAATTGATGATTATGAGTCTTGAACAAAAAAGAATTTTTGGATCTCAGTTGCACCCTGAACAAGAGAGAAACAGCATTGAGCATGAAGTAATTAGAAATTGAAAATTTTCAAGTAATAATCTATCGTATATACAATGAAGTGTCGATTTTATACGCCCCCCAGGGCACATCCAAGTTGGCGGAACAATCATATTGGGGGGCTCTGAAACCAAGCGTGGGGAGTTCGATTCCTGGTGGGAACATTTGATCCAATAAAAGAGGAATTATTGGTGGATTAATCACCATGGAGGAGGCTCCCTTTGGAGAAGGAGTAAAAGCCATGTGGGAACCTGGGAACCAACAAGGGCACATCCTGCGATTCACCTCCCTGAGCAGCTGAGGGGCCGGAGGTTCAGGGACGAAGATATAGTTTGGCGCAAGCTAGGACACCTTGTTAAAAAAAAAAAAGTGTCGATTTTATACCATGTAAAAATAAAATAATTAATTATCAACAGAAAAAGTTGACGTGCTTTCGTTGCTAGTATAGTAACTAGGTGAAAAAGAGAAAGGAAATGATTGTTTTATTTATTTATTATTATGAATTGGTGTCATACAACGCCAGCAGATATAGCAATTTCCAAACTTTTGTAAATAGAAAATAGAAAATCTATCCACGAGTATTACATAATTATTTCTCAATATAAGATGATAGTAATGGAAAGGGTCCTTATTCAAACACGTAAAGAAAAATAAGTAGACAAATTCCCAACATATATAACTTCTCTCTTGCCAGCACAATTATTCGGCTCTCAATGCTTTCTTAACGTCAATCACGAATCGATATTTGACATCGGATTTCTGTAGTCTTTCCATCGCAGTGTTGACATAATCCATCGGGATGATCTCCACGTCCGGCAATACGTTATGTTTTGCTGCAAAATCAATCATCTCCTGTGTCTCTTTCAGTCCTCCAATCAAGCTACCGGCCACCACCTTCCGCCCTGATAAAAGGTCGGGAAAAATTGGCACCTCCAGTGGCTTGTTCGGTGCACCAACCATGATCAGCTTTCCGTCAGTCTTCAACAAACTCAATAATGGCGAAAGGGAGTGAAATGCAGAAACTGTATCGATGATCCCATCTAATGTTCCAGCTGCAACTCGCATTTCCTCTTCATTTCTGCTAACCAGAAACGAGTCTGCACCTAACTTTTCAATGGCTTCCTTCTTCTTATTGATAGATGTGCTGATAACTGTAACTTTAGCCCCAAATGCCTTGGCGAACTTCACCCCGACATGGCCGAGCCCACCAAGCCCGACTATGCCGATATGCAATCCAGGCTTGTCGAGCCCGTAGTGCCTGAGCGGGCTGTAAGTTGTAATCCCGGCGCACATGAGTGGAGCTCCGGCGTCCAAGGGCAAGTTTTCTGGCCAGCGAATAACAAAGTGCTCATTAACTACCATGATATCGGAGAAACCACCGTATGTGGTGGTGCCGTCGGTGTCCTTTGCGCCGTAGGTGAGTATTTGTTTAGGGCAATAATTTTCAAGATCTTTGTTACATGAATTACATTCCCGACATGATCCGACCAAGCATCCGACGCCTACTTTGTCTCCAACCTTGAATTTCTCGACCTTGTCACCAACCTCCGTTACCACCCCGACAATCTCGTGTCCGGGCACAACTGGGTATTGTGTAAATCCCCAGTCGTTCTTGGCATTGTGAAGATCCGAATGGCAAATCCCACAGTACAACACTTTCAACTGCACATCGTGCTGACCAGTAGACCTTCTTGAGAACTTGAAAGGAGAAAGAATCCCAGTTGTGTCTCTGGCCGCCCATCCAAAAGCCTTTACAGGGTGCTCCATTTCTGGTGATTTTCCCATTGTCAGAAGCAGTATTTCTCTAGTTTCACAAAATTAAGCAAACCTGAGAAATACAGAGAATTGGTTTCTACTGAACATCACAACGTCCATATATATAGTGCAAGTTTGTCTATTTTTATTTAGAAATTTAATTAAAAGATTTGACAGAGATGCACATAATTAAATGCTAGGACGGATTTCTGTATTACGACGTAGGCAATGAGATAACGGGGTAGGGCCCTGCTGTGGCTAAGTTCTTTTTGTTTACGGCACGGTGTATATTCACCCAATCTAGAGTAATGTATTTAGCCCTTAAAATCTACAAGGTGGTGGTAGGTCTGGGCAGGAAAGAAAGTCAAAGTCAAAATTACGAACCAATATTATAAAATTTGATGGCATAGGGTACTTTGATCATGGATAACGTAAGATGTGGACGGCTTTTTATAAAGTTGAGATGGACGTTACGTGCTTTGGCACCTTAACTTGGTGTAAAAACGAAATTAAATTTGTACTCTGCTTGGATTTTGCATTTCAAACATATTTGGACGGTTTATGAACCGTCTCGAAAGTCAACATAGAAGTTAAAATTTTATTTGGTAATTGACTATGTGGATATATTTCTTTATTTTTGTAGAACATTTGTGTACTTTTCAGTTTAGTACAAAAAGTAATAAAATGAATAATATAGCTGGATGATTTTAAGGTGAATTAAGATAGATAATATTCTTTAAGTAAAAAAAATAGTGCACAATCAAACGTATAACATAATTCAAATGATCGAGTTTTGGTTTGTTATCGTTTGAAGATTTTGATTTCAAATAGAGATGGCAATTTACCCCGCCCCGACGGGTTGATGGGGTGGGGGCGGGGTATAATTCCCCGTCCCGTGAATGTTTTAAAAAAAAATAGTACTTTTTTTAATATTATTTTTTCGAGAGTGTTTTTTTGAATATTAATGGTAATTTGAACATTATTTGTTTTGAATTTTTAAATTTTGAATTTGTATTTTATAATTTAATAGTATAACTCGAAAATTTGAAAATGTGTAAAAAAAAAAATAATAAATAAAAAATTAAATGCGGGCAATAAACGGGACAAAAAATTGCCACAACCCCGCCCCGTTTAAGGCTGGAAGGGGGCGGGTTCGAACCTGCCCCATTGCCCTCACTAATTTCAAAGTTCAATAAAAAGATGCAAAGTGGTTAAATCTTTAGCGATGGTAACAAGTCATGTTAGTTTTGATCCATCAAGTCCTACCAATATACTTGACGGGCATAATATGAAAGGGAAAAGTAATATTTAACCATTAGACAATAATGCACACCAAAAACAGATATACAAAGAAACAGAGAGGAATTGGAAAAAATAAAAAAATTCACACTTACATGTCTAAGTTCAAGCGCTTCAGTTTGATGCGATCACCGACGGGTGAATCCTCGTCGGAGCCAATGGAGAGAAAAAAGATCCCAACAGCTAGAAGCACTAATAGAACTATCGTCAACATTAACAGCATCAATAGCACCAATGCCACCTTAGAGTATCTCTTCCCTTGATTCCGGATTCCCCTCCTCCTTCGCCGTTGTTTATAAAGAAAAACCAAAACAAAGTCCTATAAATTCAAATAAATCAATTCGATATCGTTTTGGGATTGATTTGAAGAAGAAATATACAGCAGACATCGGATCTCGGACCGTATATTTCTTGGAAGCTACAAACTCAATTGTCCCTCAGGCATGAATTAATTCGATCAATTTCATCATTGAAACATAATTTTTTTATTCCTTATTCATCCATGGAATCAATTTAATTTCGATGAGAAAGATTTAATTTCTTTAATGGTCAAACTTAATTGAAAGATGAAGTTTTGATGGTGGGGGTTGGAGGAGGGATTGAGGAAGAAGATAAATTTTAAAAGGTTTTATGATTATGGAGGAAGAATAAATTATTTTATGTGATAAATATATTGAAATCCCACTAATGTAATTTTATTTAAGGTTATTTAAGTAAATAAAAAAATTGTGGTGTAACTAACAATATTTGTAGTGGTAATATAATTGACCAATTGTTGAATTTTTGGACTGGAGTGATGAAACGGGGGGATTTAATGAGGAGGTTTACGAGATGTACTTGATATTACAAAAGACAAAATTGCACTTGATATAACAACCTCCATTTGAATTTCATTTCATTATATTTCATTTTTTTCTTTCCTATTTTTAACTACATAATCTTTCATAAAATAATATTGCACATAAATCGAAAATATTTTCTTCTTTTTCAACAACTCATTTTTCAAAAAAATACTATTCCACACATTTTCATTTTTAAAGAAGGGGGCCAAACGGGGTTCATATTGCTTTTCACATACTTTTCAAAGCATTGTAGCCCTAAATAAAGTCACAAATCAATAGAAGTTTACGTCACATACTGTAATGATTGATTAGTTGCACCCTAGAGCATTGAGCACAACATTTCATCATAGTTCAACCAATTTTTTAGGGTTTTTGCTATGTACATCAAACTTTATATAATTACATAATGTCACATGTCACTATATTATTTTTCAGCTTAAAATATAGTGAACTTTTTCATCCAATCTTTTCTCGATACTTCATTTTATGTAACCCCTTATATATTATTTTTATATACAAGCAGTATAATCCTTTCAAAAATGGGCCATGTGGACTGGACTACTTTACCGATATTCACATATTATCATCCAGCCCATCTTTAATTATCTACCTAGAAATTGGGGATGGAAAGAACTAGGCGATGGATGGAAGGTTGAACAAGAGAAGAAATTAAAGGTGAATTTATGGTTTGAGAGTTGAGACACGCCATTTTATCTTTTTAGTAAATTGACAGTGGGCTGCAAACATTTGTTTGGGTTATGTAACTAAAATGGGCATGAAGCCTTTGAGCTTGCTTGCTTGCTTTTTTTTTTTTTTTTTTTTCAATGGGCTAAATTGGGAAGCCATTCTAGTGCTAAGGGAAAATTTTGCATATGCATCATGCTATTAAAATATTTTCTAAACTACTCTATAACATTAATAAAATCAAAAAATACTGATGATAGCCCTCCGGGGCACAGCTCAACTGGTAGATCAATCAACATTGGCTTGCTTCCAGCGGCAGGGTGGAGAGTTCGATTCCTGGTGGGAACCTGCGGCCAAAAATTTGGTATGGAGCTATCACTATGGAGGAGGGTCTCTTGTGTGTAGAAATGTACAGTCAATGAGGGAACCTGTGATCCAGTTGAGGCATATTCCGAGATTTACCCCCTCCAAGGTTCTAGGGGAATGGGTCTTGGAGGTTCAGAATTTAGTCTGGTGTAAGTTTGGATACCTGGATATCAAAAAAAAAAAAAAAATACTGATGATATATATTTTATGTCTATAAATGCTGCCTTCTAAAAATAATCCCATCCAGCCATTTTGTAATTGATCACTTTGGATTATTCCTAATTTTATGGGTACCATTTATATCTTTTACTAAATTGAAGAATGATTTCAGGAAACCGACCATGACATCTCCAATCAAAACACATTTTGTAGAAGACTCACAGACGCATACGTTTTCCTCAACGTCCCAGATCTCGACGGAAGGTTTCTGTCCTTATTACAATTTTGAAATAAGAAAGTAAGAATCGTTACCTATAATCTGAGCTTCAAGTATATGTAATATGTATTGGGTTTCTTCACATTTGCATTATGATAATTCCTACCCCTCATTCGTAATTCAACGTCCGATGTCCCGTTGCTTGTGGACCAATATGTGAATGTTTTTTGCTCTTGTGAAGTTTGAAAATACATTTTTCGGCTGGTGATAACGTGAATCATCCATATGTTACTGTGTATGAAATTCACAAAGTAGAATTTTGCTCTTGTGAAGTTTGAAAATACATTTTTCGGCTGGTGATAACGTGAATCATCCATATGTTACTGTGTATGAAATTCACAAAGTAGAATATGTGATATGATGAAAATGTCAACAATGGAAAGGATAGTATTCTCCACAATTAAATATATACAGTAACTATAAAATGCATCCAGGAAACTCTAATATGTTTACCACATATGCTAATCTCTAGGTAATTCAACCTATATCAACATTAGGTTTATGCGTGTGCGTGCAATCAGAAATCTGTTCAAGTTGTGTTTGAAAATAAAAAGTTTGACATTTGATCCTCTTACAAGATGAATTTGAAGCGAGTTTCATTGAAATGTGTTCAAGTTCCTTTCTAAAGCACTTAGATTTATCCAAAATCATTTATTTTTCCTTTGTACATGAATGTACACAGTAAATGTATTTGTAGTGAATGACGCAGATACTTTTGGTCTCCTGGTTCCCTTTGGTTGCAATTACGTTGGTCTTGTCGATATGATAGCGAATGAGCTCAAGGTTGAAATCCAACATTCATGCATCGAGTTGAGTATTCTGCAGATGTGGCGATGTCCCCAATCTGAATAACAAATGACAATTCCCTGTAATTCTATTTGGAGTTGAAGCGTAGGGATCCACGTGTCATAGCATATGCATTACAGATCCGACTGGCTAGACGCGTTCAATTGGCAAAGTCTAGAACATAGCACAATTCAAACAAATTCCACCAAAAATGCAGCTTACAGAAAGGTCATTGTTGTTTAAAAACTTAGTAAAAAAGCTTCAATCTGGCTAGACAGATTCAATTGTCCAAGTCTAGAATATACCACAATTCAAATAGTTCTATCAAAAATGTAGTTTACGAAAGTTGATTGTTGTTTACAACTTAATAAATCAGCTTCCGACTGGCCAGGCACATTCAATCGGGATTAAAAGAAAAATAGATGCATTTACAACATCGCCAAAGAGGGCGTAATTTTTACAATTTCCACACAAAACCTGGCTGTATAATCACTATAACGGCAGCATTAGGAATTACATGTTACACATCTAACATAAGGGGACCAAAAAAGGGTTGCAGAACCAAAATAATAACCTGTGGATTGTGTTGGAACACAAACTTTATCTTTTTGTTGTTCGGGAAAGCAGCTACATCTTCAACTACCCTCTTGCCTTTGTCCTCCATGTGGTTCTTCTTCCCCATAGAATTGGAATCTGGGTGCACGACTTTGGCAAGTGGGGGACTGCTGCCTGAGACTTTTGATTTTGAGGATGTGTTAATGGAACGGGTGATGCGTGATGCGTCGAGATGGGGTGTTAACGAGTTCAGTCTTGGGTTCGATAATCTCACATGTCTTGTATAAATCGCCTACTCACTATGTTTTGATGGACCCTGATGATACCAATATTGGTATACCCGAGAACTATATCCCGAGGACTCCATACGTGCTCCACTCACCTTTTTGCCATATGTCCTCGGGATCTTCCGAGTCCTCGAGGAAATTCATACGAATATTAACATCATCCCATGTTCCTCGAGAATAATCCTCGGGACATACTCCACTAACAGACCTTCTAGACCTAGGTGCCTAACAAACAAACACCTAAACACCCAAGAACTCTATATCAACTCTTACACCACTTGTCAGACAATTCCATTACGAGTAGGACATTCCTTACAAATAGGATTCCATTGGATAAAAACATCCAACCGGCACAATCCTACTAGGAGTACACTACCTACCTCTATAAATATAGAACCTTGGGCCATTATTCAGGTACCTTTTTTATTATTCTCCAGTTTATAGCCTCACGCTTATAATTCCCTTTTTGACTTAAGCATCGGAGGGGCGACGAGAACACACCTCGTTGCCTTTGTTTCAGGTACCGGAAGACTACGATCGTGCTCAATTCGAATCATCAAGCTCGGGAAATATACAGGTATGATTTTTGGTAGTATCATTGGCGCCATCTGTGGGAAACGCTACCAAAAGCCATGGTTAACACACGATCAGGTATTTCTCCCGCAAGCTCATCCGCTCCCATTCCTTATCCTGCCGAAGATCAACCAGCTCCCCATGAAGAATCGTCAGGAGTGCCTGCACCTCTGTCAGTGGTCATCACAAGGAAGCCTTGGAAGAGCTACTTCAGCATGTGGTCACGCTCATGCAACTCTTAAGTCAAAGAAATTCCCATCCGTCGCTAGCATGATGGTTTTATGGCTGATGCTCGAGCACGACCACCAAACCCCGCAATTGGCGGAGTAGGAACCTCGGGTGCTCACAATATGGTCTCAGGGTCGAGATCGATTGCCTTGGATTCCGGTGAAATTGCCCGAATTATTCAAGAAGGAATTACAGCTGGCCTGCAACGGAATGCTCGGGGGCCAACAGGTTTCACCCCTAACACTCCATTCACGCTGGAGATACTGTCATATTCCTTGTCCGATAGATTCAATTATCCTCACATTAAAGAGTATGATAGGACGACCAACCCCATCAACCATCTCAATTTATACATTGATGTCATGAACTTGCAAGTTGCGCCAGATCAGGTTATGTGCAAAGCCTTTCCACAAACACTGACTAATGCTGCTAGGGATTAGTTCTCGACACTGGAGCCCAACTCTATAGCCTCATTCTCAGATTTGGCTGATAAGTTCTCGGCCTTCTTTGCAAGTAGCAAGCAAATCAGGAAGACCGCGGCCTCTCTCATGCAACTTCGACAGGGACCAACTGAGACCCTTCAAGGACTCATGACAAAGTTTAACAAGGAAAGGCTTCAAATACCCGACCTTCACATCACAGTAGTTGTCTCCGCCCTCAGCTACGCCGTAAGATGTGAAGCTTTCAAGATGTCTTTATCAAAGACCCTGCCGCAGACAATGACTGAGCTCCTCACCCGAGTTGAAAAATATATTAATATGGAGGAAACACTAAATCCAAGAAGACCTGGTCTTTCCCATGAGAAGACCGAGAACAAGAGGCAACATGATCCCGTCCCCCGGCATGAGCTTCCCCGGGATAAGCGCAAGAATGAGATGATGTCAGCACCTCTCACTTGGTTGAACACCTCTAAGACAAACATCTTGATGGAGGTTAAGGATATGAAAAAATTAAAGTGGCCTTCAAGGATGAAGTCACCCCCTGACACAAGAGATTGGAAGAAGTATTGCGAATTTCACAGGGATCATGGGCATACTACAGAGGATTGTCATGCTTTACAGCGAGAAATTGAAGCTCTTATCAAAAGAGGATTTTTTAAAAATTACATTGGTCATGATAAACGGCCAAGGAATGACCGTGACAATCGGAAAGAGCATGGGGCCGAAAGCAGTGCTCAACCTACTGCCGGAACCATTAATATTATCGTTGGGGACATAGCATCCAGCGGAGACACAAGTAGTGGGCGAAAGCAATATACCCGCCAACATGCTCATACCCCAAGAGAATCCAGTGATGAAGTTAAAGACATCACTTTTGGTGCAAGAGATTTGGAAGGAATATCATATCATCGTGACAATGCCTTGGTCGTCTCTGCGGTTGTGGCTAACTTCGAAGTAAAGAGGATTCTGCTTGATAATGGGAGTGCAGCAAATATACTCTCGTAGGAGGCTTTCGCCAAAATGGGGATCTCTCCAAAACAGCTCAAAGCGGTAAAAACTCCCCTGCAGGGATTCAGTGGTGGAGTCATTATCCCTGAAGGCATCGTCGAGCTCCGCTTACATTAGGAATGGGTAATACACAAGTGACGAAGATCACACCATTCTAAGTGGTTAATACCCCAATGGCCTACAATATCATTCTGGGAAGACCCCTACTGAACAAGATCCAACCTATCGTGTCAACTTTCCACCTGGCCATGAAGTTCCCCACAAGTCATGGCATCGGAGTAGTTCGAAGAGACTAAACAGCTGCTAGACAGTGCTATGTTACTAGTATCCGAGGAATGAGTGCTGATGTCATGCAACTTGCAGACCTCAAGCTCGAGCTCAAGCCAAGGGGTAGATTGGCCCCCGTTGAGGAGTTGGAAGTGGTCGAGCTTGAGCACGGGAAAGCCGTTACTATTGGACGGGATCTCAAGGCCAACCTCCGGGAAGAAGTCATCGATTGTCTATCCCACAACATTGATATTTTTGCATGGAAGGTGGAGGATATGCCAGGGATACACCTAGAAGTAGCAGTTCATAGACTCAATATCAGCCCAGGGGCCAAACCTGTTAAGCAAAGGAAAAGGCAGTTTGGGCTGGAAAGACGTGTGGTCATTCAAGAAGAGGTCGGCAAATTGGTGAGAGCAAGGTTCATAAGAGAAGTCCAATACCTCGCTTGGCTCGCTAATGTTGTTCTGGTGAAAAAGGCCAGTGGTAAATGGAGGGTCTGCATTGATTTCACAGATCTGAATAAGGCATGCCCAAAGGACAGCTACTCGTTACCTAGGATTGATAATCTTGTGGATAGCACATCCGGACATAAGCTATATAGCTTCTTAGATGCATTCTCAGGGTATCATCAAATCCTTATGGCCAAAGAAGACCAAGAGAAGACTTCATTCATGACTAATTCAGCCATATATTGCTATAGGGTGATGCCATTTGGGTTGAAAAATGCTGGGGCAACATATCAGAGGTTCATCAACAAAGACAAAGTCTTCGCCGATTTGATAGGGAAGAACATCGAGGCCTATGTAGATGACATGGTTGTAAAGAGTAAGAAGGTAGAGGAACACATATCCGACCTAGAGAAGGTGTTCGTCGCCCTAAGAAAATATAAGATGAAGCTCAACCCAGAGAAGTGTGTATTCGTCGTAGTTTCAGGAAAGCTTATGGGTTTCATGATTACTCATCGGGGGATTGAGGCCAACCCCGACAAGATTCAGGCTCTGGCAGCAATGGAATCACCAAGGACCAAGAAAGAGGTTCAAAAGTTGACAAGTAGGGTAGCTGCCTTAAACAGGTTCATAGCCCGAGCAGCAGACAGGTGCTTCCCCTTCTTCAAAGCCCTCAGGGGTAATCATTGCTTTGAATGAAATGAGGAGTGCGAGAAGGCTTTTCAGGAGCTCAAGCAGACATTGGAATTTCCTCCTATCCTCACCAAACCCGAGCCCGGAGATACTCTATATTTGTACTTAGCCGTATCTCAAAATGCAGTGAGTGGTGTCTTGGTAAAAGAGGTTAACAGGGCCCAGCAACCCATTTATTACGTAAGTAAAGTCCTACTTGATGCAGAAACAAGATACACTTTGGCAGAACAGCTTGCCCTGGCACTGATAGTGGCAGCACGAAAACTTCAGCAATATTTCAGTCACATCCCATTGTAGTGCTCACCAATCAGCCTCTAAAACACATTCTTTAGAAACCAAACGTCTCAGGAAGATTACTGAGGTGGGCAATTGAACTCAGAGAATTTGACATAGAGTTCAAGCCCCGCCCATCTATCAAAGCTCGGGCCTTAATTGACTTCATTGCAGAACTCACCCCAAGGCCTTGGGGGCCAGATGGTAGCTCGAGCTAGACCACAGGTGCGTGGCAAATTTTTGTCGATGGAGCATCAAACTCCTCAGGCTCGGGTGCAGGGGTCATAATTATAAGCCCGAACGTGCTCATAAACATTCAGTGTGCACTCAGGTTCGATTTGAGGCGACCAATAATGAAGCAGAGTATGAGGCCGTTATCATAGCCATGGAACTCGCCATCAATCTCGAGCTTGAAAATATCAAAATTTACAGTGATTCCTAGTTGGTGGTTGGACAAATTGATGGGACGTTCGATAGGAAGGACGAGAAGATGAGCTTATACTGCTTGAAAGTGCATGATATCCAGAGAAAGTTTAGGGATTGTGAAATTGTGAAAATTTCTCGGGCTGAGAATTGTAAGGCCGATGCCTTGTCAAGATTGGTGTTCATGGGAATAGATGGGCTTGACAGGACAGTTCACGTTAGAATTATAACCGAGCCAAGCATTAATCAGACCGTAGGCGTCATGGATATTGATAATGAGCCATCGTGGATGGACCCAATAGTGGATTACATAAAGCATGGCAATCTTCCAAAAGATCCTCGAGTAGCAAGAAGCATCCGATCTAAAGCTCCAAGTATTGTATGATTGAAGGTGTTTTATTTCGCAGGAGCCTCACACTTCCATACCTCAAATGCCTTAGGCCTTCTGAATCATCCCAAGTCCTAGAAGAAGTTCATGAAAGAATATGTGGGAACCATTACGGAGCTCGGACATTAGCCTTTAAGCTCATAAGGTATGGATATTATTGGCCAACCATGAAGAAAGACGCCTAGGAATATGTCAAGAAGTGTGACAAGTGCCAAAGATTTGGCAATGTCATCCACCATCCCGTAGAGGACCTCACTAGCATTAGTTGCACAGCCCCGTTTGAACAATGGGGAATTGACATCCTTGGAAAGACAGTAACTAGAGGGCAATTGAAGTTTGTAGCTGTGGCAGTAGAGCATTTCACTAAATGGGTGAAGGCCGAGGCTTTAGCAACAATTTCAGAGCCTAAGTTAAGAAGTTTCATTTGGAGATCCATCATATGCAGGTTCGGAATACCGAAAGTCCTCATAACTGATAATGGCAGGCAGTTCGACAATGTACAATTTAAAAACTTCTATTCCAACCTAGGGGTTGATCACCGTTTAACGTCAATTTCCTATCCTCAAAGTAATGGTCTCGCCGAAGTGACCAATCAGATTATATTGTAAGACCTCCGTACAAGAATCGGGGATGCAAGAGGTTCCTGGCCTGACGAGTTACCTTCCATACTTTGGACGTATAGAACGTCCCACAGAACTGCAATGGGGAAAACCCCCTTTGGCTTTTGGTATTGAGGCCACCATCCCTATTGAAGTCAGGTTGCCCAGCCAAAGAAGGCTTGAGCCCGAAGATACAGGGCGCACCACTGAACACCTCGACCTCTTGGAGGAAGTTCGTGATCAGGCAGCTTTAAGAATGGCCTCCTACCAAGATAAAATAGCAAAGTATTTCAATAAAAAGGTGAAGACGCGGAGATTCAGAGCCGGAGACCTTGTGTTAAGAAGGGCCGAAGCAGCGGGTCATGTCCCGGGCAAGCTAGGACCAGTTTGGGAAGGGCCCCTTGAAGTTATACGACAGCTCCAAGATAAAACAGCAAAGTATTTCAATAAAAAGGTGGGGACGCGGAGATTCAGAGCCGGAGACCTTGTGTTAAGAAGGGTCGAAGCAGCGGGTCATGCCCCGGGCAAGCTAGGACTAGTTTGGGAAGGGCCCTTTGAAGTCATACGACAGCTCCAAGGAGGCGCATACAGTTTAAGGGATACATCAGGAAGACCACTTTCAAGACCATGGAACGCCGAGAATTTAAAAATATATTACAAGTAACTTGGTCTTCCAGTTATCAATAGTCAAGCCTGCACGTCAAGGTTCACGTTTTCAGTTCTCAGGCCTACGTGCCGAGTTTTATTTATCGTTAGTCAGGCCTGCGTGCCAAGGTTCACGTTTTCAGTTGTCAGGCCTGCACACCAAGTCTATTTTCAAAGTACAATAAGAATTCAGCTATTCATTGAAATGTGATCTCGCTATCAAAAGCCTTGCCCCGCGCAAGCACTAAAAGCCTTGCCCCGAGCAAGCACCCAAAGCCTTGCTCCCCGCAAGTGCCCAAAGCCTTGCCCCGCGCAAGCACCTAAAAAAGCCTTGCCCCGAGCAAGCACCCAAAGCCTTGCCCCGCACAAGTACCCAAAGTCTTGTCCCGCGCAAGCACCTAAAAAAGCCTTGACCATACAACATACTTGAGCATAAATTGATATTGTAATGCTCGGTAACGTATAAAAGTCCCCCATCTTTTCAGGCAAATCCTCGAGGACATCACATGAGTACATTACTACTTTTTAAGTTAATGTGCTCGAGTTGAGAAGTCCTCGAGTATATATCAATCCCTCGAGGATGTCGCATGAGTACATTACTTCTTTTTAAGTTAATGTGCTCGAGTTGTGGAGTCCTCGAGTATATATCAATCCCTCGAGGACGTCGCATGAGTACATTACTTCTTTTTAAGTTAATGTGCTCGAGTTGTGGAGTCCTCAAGTATCTTCTTTTAAGTTAATGTGCTCAAGTTGTGAAGTCCTCGAGTATATACCAATCCCTCGAGGATGTCACATGAGTACATTACTTCTTTTTAAGTTAATGTACTCGAGTTGTGGAGTCCTCGAGTATCTTCTTTTTAAGTTAATGTGCTTGAGTTATGGAGTCCTCGAGTATCTTCTTTAAAGTTAATGTGCTCGAGTTATGGAGTCCTCGAGTATCTTCTTTAAAGTTAATGTGCTCGAGTTATTTCCCCGAGGACGTCGCATGAGTAATTACTTCAGTTTGTTTGCTCGAGATGTTTGAAGTCCCAGGGGTCAAGATGACTAATTCGCAGTTCATGACTAAAAGGCAATAATAATAACAGCAAAACATTGTACCATTCATCGAGCAAAAAACTTATTCAAAAATTAAACAAAAATTACAAAGCAAAAGATCGGGGTGGAGGACTATCCAATATGGCCAAGAGGAGGGTCGAGGTTATTGATGTCAATCTCAACGTCGTCCTCAAGGCCCTCCTCGTGTTTTCTCCACCTGATCCTACC